GAACCGCGGTCCCTGTGCTTTAGCCAAGCTTGTTCCAAGTAGGTGCTTTAGACCACTGAGCCATCTCTCCAGCCCCATAGAAGAGTGATCTTTTAGATGAACCTTGGGGTCATTAGATTCAGGTTTTTTTCATTAAGAACTTTAGTAAAAGATGAAGTGGCTACAGAATGTTTACTGCTTTTCCTTAGATTCAATAGGATCAAGCCACAATCCGCAAGATGCATCTACTTAGTGTTTTTGTTGTTGTTTTGCTTAGTGTTTGAGCCTCTGTTCTTTCCCACTGCCCCAGAGCGCCACAGAGACTGAAGCATGGTGTGGGACTACAGTGACCTTAACTCTCACTGGCATGGGATGGCTTACCTTCCAGCCTGGCTTGGCAATGTGCTTAAAGTAGGGGAAGTGGTCCTCGATCCAAGTGTAGATGTCCTTCAAGGTCATGCGCTTCCTCTCAGTGCTATTGATGGCGAACTGTATCATGGCCATGTAAGAGTAAGGTGGCCTCTCAGATATAGAGTCCTGCCAGGGTGTGGATGTTCCCATAGGTTCCTCCACCTGGGTCCAAGAGCCAAAGGGAAAGAGAAGAGGAATGACAAGGAAGAGTTCACGAGAACCACACGTCCCCCAAAGTTGGCCCTTTGAGAACTTTACTTCCTAGAATGTACTAGAAACAAACTCGTTTACCTGAGATTGATTTCAGTGATATCCTGTTTCACAGGACACATTTTTATGATTGGGGAGGATTTTAATGATGACCTAGTTTGAACTCAAGCCAGAAAGGAACTGACTGCTTTTCTACTGTCATTCATCAGCTTGAAGATATTACCTAATAAGGAAAAGTCCAGTCCCTTCTAATTGAAAGTGCTCAGCTGGGGACATAGTTCAGTTGCAGAAGTGCCTGCCTGGCAAGCACAAAGTTCTGAGTCTGATCCCTGATACCAAAAAAAAAAAAAAAAATGTGGCTAATTGAAAGTGCTCGAAAACGCTGATTTTATACTATTTCATGCCCATTTTTCAGACTTGCAGATCAAGAGACCTAGTTCTTAATCCTATTTTTTTCTCCTGATGTAATGTGAATAAATTCATCTCATTTGAATGTTTGTATGAGAGAAATATTCTCAAGAGTATGGGGCAGAAAAAATGTCTTCAAAGCCCACATTTACCATATTCTTGGGCAAAGATCTGATCATTCACTTTCTTTTGTTGTTTTGTTTTGAGACAGCATCTTGCTATATAGTTCATTTCAGGCTGTCCCTGAACTTGCTTTGTAGCCCAGACTGGCCTCAAACTCACAGCAATCCTTTTGCCTCAGCTGCATGAGTACTGGGAGTATAGCCATGTGCCACTATGCCCAGTATTTACATTTTTAAAGAGTGAACTGTAACTTTACAAAGTACAAGTATATATTTATGTATATAATTCAACTAATACTTACTGAAATAGGCATAGCAAAAACCCTCTCTAAAGAAAATTATTGATGTATACATCTGTGTAAATTTTGACTTTTTTTGAGACCGGTTCTCATTCTTTAGCTCAGTCTGGTACTGAACTTGCTATGTTCTTGTTATGTGTCCAGACTGGCTTTAACCTTTGCAATCTTCCTGCCTCAGTTTATGTGCTGGGATTATAAACATCAGCCACCACTAAAATTCTACCCTTTTTTTGGCAGCACTAGAGATTGAACCCGGGGTCTTGATGCTGAACCCTTTATTTTTTTGAGACAGGGTCTATTTAACTGCCTAGGCTGGGCTCAAACTTGAAAACTCCCTGCTTCAGCCTCTGAGTGCTGGTATTACAGGTATGCACTGCCACCTCTGGCTTACATTTTCATTTTTAAAGATTAATGGTTAAAGGGCATATACAATAGAATCTATCAGTAGATTTGTAATCCTGGCACCTATGAACAAAGAAAAATCAACCTAGACTACACTTAGTTCAACTTTGATTGAGAAATATTTAAATCACTTTTTTTTTTTTTTTTTTTGCAGTACCAGGGATGGAACTCAGGACCCTGCGCTTGCCAGGCAAGTGCTTATTCTACTGAGCCATCTCCCCGGCCCCTAAACTGTACTGTTAAAGATGCTGTATTCCATTCATACTTAGGATGCCTTGTAAAGTTCAAGCAGCTTCTCAAACTAAGACTTGTTATACTCATTTCCTGAACTCTTATGGAGGACCTACTAAGGGCAGAATATCAAACTCAGTGCCCCGAGGAATACAGAAAAAGCCAAGGGAATCTGCCCTTGAGGAAGTATTGCAGAGAGGAGAAAAAAAAAAGAGCCCAGGCAACAAATTACTCAAAGTTCTACAGAATAGCACTAAATGGAGCCCTGATAGCAGGACTTGGAAATGCTGCCTGGTAGGCCACGTGGTCCCTGTACTGTCTTAGAAATGCCCTGCATTCTGATTCCCTAGCGAGGAACACAACAGTTCACCTTGACCTGACTCTGCTGTAGGTGACAGTTCTCCTTCTCCTCCACTTCCTGCTTGATGCTGCAGGAGCCCAGTGTGTCAGAACTCATCTTCCCGAGCCACTGGATATTGGTCAGGCTGTTGTCCAGAATGGGGCCTGTTGCCTCGCCACCAGCTAGAGAGGAAACAAACCAAGACCCTACTTAGCTGGCTGCTTAGTCATCCTGCATGCCCACCAAAGTCAGTGGTCAGGGGTCACCCTCCTGCCACCACCCTCAGGACAGGGAACACATGGGGAATTTATTATGGCTCTGGGTTACTCTGCCCCACAGAGTAGTTTCAGGACAAATTCAAACACTTGATTCACATTAGTTTCAGAATGAGCCCCACTAAACCTTAGATATCCATAAAGGCAACCTTACGCATGAGCTATGGAATAGCTATTAAAAAGCTACTTTTCTTCCCTGTGTTTCAATTTGCTCCTTTATTCAGATGGAGAAAGACTGACTTCTTTATACAGCCAATGGAAAGAATAAACAAATGTTGACTAAATCCCTTACCAATATGCTTAAGAAAACCAATAGAAATGCTGTATCATAATTACAATTCATTCAACTGTGCCCAAAGGCTCTGTGTCAAGGCTTCAGAGTGAAGAGACAAAACTTTCCCTGGGTTCAGGTTGGAAGAATCTGTTGCAGGTACCAAGACTAACTGCTATAAGCCTCGTCACCAGAGGAAAAGCCAAGCTCCTCACCCCTTGCCCTGCAGACTACGTACCACGGCTCTCCCGACGGTGCCCTGGAGGGGCTCCAGATGGTCTAGGAACATTCACATCCCTAGCTGCAGGCTTTGGTCCCAAGCTCTCAGTGAGCACTTCTGTCCTCTTGGAATCATTGCTGCTTTGGGCTTGTGGGTGGGGTCCTGGAGAGCAAGCTGAGGCTCCTCCACAGCTGATGAGGATGAACTTATTGGGCCCACTGCTGCCACTCTCTTTTCCTTTGGCAGTCAGCACTGTGATGATGCTCTGGATATCGGCATTGTTAGGGATGGCCACCACTTGTGTGTTGGGCATGGTGGGGTGATTAATGATCTTGATTCCAGCTGGAAACTTGCAAGAGCTGGATTCTCCCATCTCCTTGGAGGCTGGTGCTTCACCAGGCTCCTTTTGGGCAGGGGCTCTGTTAGACATCTTCTCAGATGTTTCAGCTGCAGCATCTTGAACAGGAAGGGGCAGCCTCCGTCTTTTGAGAATCAGTGGCCGATGGGGGCTGGTTTTCATTCTGAATCAGTGCTTTCACTCTCCATTGAGAATTACAAACATGGGCCCTGCAAAGTGCAGTGAACAGCAGAACGTCAGGGATTTGCTGGATAGCTCAGCAGACTAAAGCACCTGCTTAGGCACTTAGATCACTATGAGTCCGATCTATGTAGAGATCCTGCAGACCCTGTACCGGATAACGATTACACTCATCATGGGAAGGTGGCGCATCCACACAACACATCTCACTTCTCTTTACTTCCCTTCCCTCTCCGCCCACTGGAGGTTCTCTTAGAAGAAGGTGCCAGCTACAAGTCTAGGCAAGAGCATGAGCTTCCAGGCTCCTCAGCTTTTGTAAAGACCTCAGTCAATGAGATAACGAGTCCGACCAATCAAAGAAAGTCAAAGCTGCACACAGCACACAGGAGCAACTCCAGGGGGGAAAGTGAGAACGTGTTAGAGAAAGCCAAAGAATTGAACAAGACATCTACAGAATCGTGGCAATCTCTATTATTCTCTACTATAATACAGACAAAACACACATATGGAAGGTGCTGGAATATGACAAATGCTAATAAGGGGCCCAGACGAAACTCTGATTCCCTAATAAAGGTTATATAAGCCTTTATATTTTGATGTCCTCTTACTTTGTAATTGATAGGATCAGTGTCCACAAAGTCACAGATTCAGGGAGAAAAGGCCAACTGCGTTACTACACTGTCACCACATTGCTACAGAGGTCACCTCCCAGTTCTCAAGATGTCATATGACCAATAGTACAATTTTTTAATTAATTAAATTTATTGGTCCATTTTACGTATACATAATCACATTCATCATACGGAATGTGTACCAGTACATGATATATCTTGATTCTTGCTTTTTCCCCTTCGCCTACCCTCCCTTCAATCTCTCTTCCCCTCCTTAGTTAGAAAAGTTTTGGGGCTGATGAGATGGCTCAGTGGTCTAAAACCTACTTAGCACAGGAACCACGGTTCAATCCCCCAGCACCACATGTCAGCCAGCCCTGCCCCCTGGTGGGCTGAGCTGGCCACACACACACACACACACACACACACACAAATAAATTTTAAAAAAAAGTTTTGTTTCCATTTTTTTCCTTTTCTCATTTTTTGTTTTTTCTTCCTTTCCTCCTTCTCCCACTCTAGTTCCCCTTCCCATAAGAACCATTTTCATATTTCACAACATGTATTACACATTTTGGTCCTTATTTACACTTTCAGTTTCTCACATCAAATAAAAAATGCAATATTTATATGTGTGTTCAATTTCTTTCACTTACAAGAATGGTCTCAAGGTACACCCATTTACCTAGAAATGTCTCAAATTTATCCTTTTATGGCTGAGTACTATTCCACTGTATTAAAAAAATCACCCTTCTTTATCCATTCATTGGTTGATGGGCATTTGGACTATTTCCAAGATTTGGTTATTATAAACTGTGCTGTATAAACATGGGTGTAGTACGATGCTTTTATTTTTTTTCAGGAAGTTTTACAGATTGTACATTGTCCAACTTCATTTTACAGGCTATTACTTTTGCAATTTTTATTTTTGGTGTTGGGGATCCAACTCAGGGCTTCACACTTGTTAGGCATATATTAGTCTACTACTAAGTTACATCTTCAGCCCTTTGTTTTTTTGTTTTTACTTTGAGACAGGGTCTGGCTAAATTACCTAGACTCATCTGAATTTTGATCCTTTTGCCTCAGCATCCTAAATTGAGATTACAGGTGTGGACCACCATACCCAGTCTAAAAACTGTACTTTTTTTCATGAGGTGCAGAAACATTTATATGCTTATATCTCAATACTTGCATGTGACTATGCATATTTTAACTTTGTCCTTTTTTTTTTTTTTTTTTTGAACTGGGGATTGAGCTCAGGCCCTTGCACTTGCCAGGGAAGCTTATTCCACTGAGCCATCTCCCTGCCCCCATATTTTAACTTTGTAAGCATGCTGCTTTACTGATTTCTCTTCTAGAACCAAGACTGTAACTCCTATTTCTTTGACTGCTAGAATGTGCTATTATGTCTATCCTGAGGTGATTTTGGATCTGTCTGTCTTTTTGAGACAGGGTTTCTCACAGCAATCCACCTACCTCAACCTCTCCTAAATGCTGGAATTACAAGCATGTGTGCCCACTTCCGGCTCTGAGGGGTGTGTGTGTGTTTGAGAAAGGGTCTTGCTATGCAGCTCAGGCTGGCCTTGAGCTTACTCTGTAGCCTAGGCTGGTCTCAAACTTGCAATGATCCTCCTGCCTCAGCCTTCTGAGTGCTGGGATTATAGGCACCTGTCATTCTGAAGTGATTTTGAAATGCTATGAAAGCAACCTTTAAAAAAAGTATCACTGATACATACATGGAATAGTTTACCATTAAGTAAAGTCTACCATCTATTTTGAGTTCCTTTGAGAGATGAGACAATCTGTCGTCTCTCTTTTAGGACATGTCCCTAAAAATGACTATCCCCACAGCCCTCCCCGTGCTGTGGCCTCCTGTCCTTCACAGCTCAGGTTTCTCTAACTTCACACTTCCGTCTCCTTCCAGCCAGCCTCCTCCTCCCCATCAATCAGTAGCTCCCTTCCTTCCACAGGGTCTCTTAAATTCTTCCCTTCAACTCCCTGGCCAGCCTTTTCCTGACTGCCAGCACTGTCTGGCCCGGGAAGGATTCGGAGCGCTTCTGCGACCCTGTCCCCACCTAAACCCGGCAACCTTGCCACACCGTCGGAACTAGAGTCCTGCGAGCGGGCGGTGCAGGCTGGGGCTCCGAGCCTCCAGCCGGGTGCAGGTCCCACTCCAGGGCAGGCCGGCCGCCCGGGGGCAGCGAACGCCCCCGAACGCGACCCCGGCAGAGCGCCTCGGCGGCGGCACAGACTTCCCCGCCGCCCGGCGCCCCGGTCGCCGC